CCCTGTGCTAAACAAGTATCCAAAAAATGTGCCTAGCAGCTGCTTGCCAAATGCATCTGTAAATTCAAAAGCAAATAATCTGAATCAAAATAATTAGGCAAATTAACAGAAGAAAAATCTACTTAGGGCTATTAAACACAGAGATAAGTCTTTCGATTCAGAAGATCTCTGAGCCATGCCTTTTTACCTCAGGGCTGGGAGGGTGCTGGGGAAGCCTTTACTCCTCTTACATTCGCCCTGGCTGGGCAGCGATGGGTGCCTGTCGCAGACAGCAGAGCAGGTTGTCAGATATTTAGATGAACCTACTTGTCTGTGAGTGCCGGGCTGGCTCTGTTTTACTCTTCAGCTGAGACCTGTAAACACCCACCAAAGACAAAGTCTATTAGGATGACTCTGCAATGCAGAGATAGCAAAGGAGTGCAAGAGCCGACTCTCCAAGTTGACAAAAGTTTATACTCATAAGGATATTATTTGGATAGGAATCCATGTTATACAGTAAATTAAGTGAATTAAACACAGGATCCTTTTGATGAATCTTTTAACTTCAAGCATATGCCCTGAAGCTCAGTAGCAATTTAGCACCATGCTCAGACTGTGATGACCGGCTTGGCATGCAAGCCTTAAAGAGAGTCAGGACAAAAATATTTCTTTGACGAAGAAGAGTTTAGGAAGTAGTAGCAATAATGGGTATCTTTCCTACCCATCAAATAGAGATAAAAAGAATATAAATAGTGGCGGTCAATGAGAAACAAATTTTTCAGCCTCCTACATGCTAATACGAACTAATAAAACTGTATTTGAAAAGCAACAAGATATTCTACGTAGCAAGGTACAGCCAGGGAGTACCTGTGGAGTGTGCCAAGTCATTTTTAAGCACTGTTTGAAGGGAAAAGACGTAATGCCTAATCTGCTTATCCAGTGGCACATAAGTGTAGATATAAGCGTGCTGAAGCTACGGAAATCCCTGGAGTTATGACAGTAAGAAGGGGACTTATTATGTCCTGAAAGAACATAATATTCAAGAATGCTTTAAGTCTATTGGGGGAAAAAAAAATAAGAATAGTTGAAAGGAAGTTTAATGACTGCTAGACTAATGAAAATGTTGACTTTATAAATGGTAAGAATTTGAATTTCGCAACGCTGTTCTGGACTTTGCTATTGTTGCAGATGAGCGGACCTCAATTAAAGTAACTGAGCTGTGTGTGGATAGACTTGTCTGCTCACTACAAGTTTGCCGCAGGATTAGACTCATTATTTGAATTTCCAGATCTTCAACAGTACTGTGTTCATAATGTGTGAAAGCAAATTTAGCTGATTTAATAGGGGAAAGCCTTTTTATAGCACTGACTTCTGTGGACAAAAAGGGGTTTGCAATGCATTTGTTAGGATATTACACATGTAGAACAAAATTCCCCTGGCTGTTACTGAGCTTTGGATCAGGTCCTTGTTGGGGGAAGAAAAAAAAAAAAGCCAGATTATCACACAAATGCAATATTTAATCTCCAGATATTCTGCTTCAAGCAGTGTAATTGAGTTCAATAGCTCCATGTTTATTAATACGTCCTGTGCCTAGACATTAGCATAACGAAAAACATGGGGGGAAATGTCATACATACTCCCACACACCTATGCAAATATAATTATAATTGCTCCCTGTATTTCCCAGTAGACCTTTTATGGGAATCATTATGCTTACTCTGTCTAAAAAATATCTGTTACGTAAAAAATGTTTGAAATAGAACTTTGTTTTATTTAGCATTAAACAAACATGTCCAGCCAGGACTGTTGATGCTACCTTGCCTATGCATACATACACATGTATACGTTTGTGTATATCACACAACAAAGCTTACCTGCTAAACACAAACCTATACTTCAGCTACATGAAAAATGTTCTCACTAATCAGCATCCACTTGTTGCACCTCCCCTGAAAGGACCAAATCTCTCTTAAATGTGCTATTTCACAAGCATCCCTTCACACAACAGGCCTTTGCACAGCATTGCGAATTCATGGAGGAAATGAATTCCTTCCATCCTCTCTATATATCTGCGTGAAGATACAACGGGGGTTCACAGCACAATGGGGCTGTGATTTATTTGGGCCCCTGGGTATGACTGCCATACAAGTAGTAACTAATAACAACAGACGACCAGAGATTGCTGAGATGCATTGGCCGTAAGGAAAAATAAAACCTGGTCCATAATAAGGACATTCTACGTCCAGTTGCATGTATAAATGTAATTGAAACAATAGGGCTTGATGAAAATCTTAGGGCCACCTCCTCAATCTCAATCTGACTTTTCAGACAATGGCAATAAAAAGAAATTATTCTGTGATTTGTGGAAAAATGACCAAGATTTAAGATTTCCACTAAAGACAACTCATTGAAATGCATCTATGAACTGCCGTCTTCTCTTTTCTCTTTCTTTTTCTTTTTCTTTTTTCTTTTTCTTTTTCTTTGTCTTTTCCTTTTTCTTTGTCTTTGTCTTTTTCTCTTTTTCCTCTTTCTTTTCTTTTCTTTTCTTTTCTTTTCTTTTCTTTTCTTTTCTTTTCTTTTCTTTTCTTTTCTTTTCTTTTCTTTTCTTTTCTTTTCTTTTCTTTTCTTTTCTTTTCTTTTCTTTTCTTTTCTTTTCTTTTCTTTTCTTTTCTTTTCCATTTTCTTTTCTTTTCCCTTTTCTTTTCTTTTCTTTTCTTTTCCATTTTCTTTTCTTTTCCCTTTTCTTTTCTTTTCTTTTCTTTTCCATTTTCTTTTCTTTTCCCTTTTCTTTTCTTTTCTTTTCTTTTCCATTTTCTTTTCTTTTCCCTTTTCTTTTCTTTTCTTTTCTTTTCCATTTTCTTTTCTTTTCCCTTTTCTTTTCTTTTCTTTTCTTTTCTTTCCTTTCCTTTCCTTTCCTTTCCTTTCCTTTCCTTTCCTTTCCTTTCCTTTCCTTTCCTTTCCTTTCCTTTCCTTTCCTTTCCTTTCCTTTCCTTTCCTTTCCTTTCCTTTCCTTTCCCCTCCTTTCCCCTCCTTTCCCCTCCTTTCCCCTCCTTTCCCCTCCTTTCCCCTCGTTTCCCTTCCTTTCTCTTCTTCCCCCCCCCTTCTTTTTTTGTCTCCCCTGAATTTCCTATTTATGATGATTAGGCCCCAGCACTGAATCCTTCACTCTCTCACACTGCCTTGGACAAAGACTGGGTCCCATGGGGCGAGGGCTGTTATTCCTCCAGCGGGAGCAGGATGATACCCGTGGGGCTGAGCAGCCCTGGCAAGGGCACCACGTTCTGCTTTTACCCGCTGATATCATCTGCAGTAAAACGCACGGCTCCCCCAGCCTGCTTCAGGTGGGTAAAATTCCCAGGCAGCGGCCCAGGCAGGCAGAGGACGGGGCGGAGAGGAGCACGCCTGATGGGTACTCTGGTGTTTGCATGAAAAATTCTCAGGGAAAATTCTTTCTCTCTCTCTCAGGCCCCTAAACTCTTTGTGAATGGGGCCAGTGCAACATGTGGCCTTTCACCTCGCCCAAGAACCACTGCCAGACAGCCACACTCAGAGAATTGTTTGTTAATAGTCCAATTAGATAATTGCCATCTTTCACTCCTTTCGCTCTACATTTCCCATAAAGGAATGAATAAGGAGAGCAGCATGAAGAGGGCTTCTGCCCTGCAAGGTGACAAGAAGGACTGGAGCATGCTCTTTGCACAAGGCCATTTGCTTGAATTGAATCATTGTAGCCTAATCAATGGTCTTATTGGATTACTGGCTGTTGCGGTTCTCAAAGATATTGTAGCAGAGACAATGAAATAGCTAGAGTAAAACTTTTTTCTCCTTTAGTGGATCACGCAGTTGAGATTTTTCACGGGCTATCTCTCTCCCTCTCTCCCTCCCTCCCTCTCTCCCTCTTTCTCCCCCTCTCCATTTCTCCCCCTCCCGGATCCACTGCACACAAAGCTGGCTTTTTTTTTTTGCTTTTTTTTTTTCAGTGAGCAGGCTCTGCGAATAGGTTCAGTGTTTGCGAAGGTGCAGAATTAGCACACACACATGCACGCACACATACACACACACACAGAGGGAGAAGCACAAAAAGCAAGTATCGGGACTGAAATAAGGAGAGGTAGGAGTTTAAGATGGCTGTCTGTGGGGAGATGTGTTAAGGAGGATTTCTGCTGGCCAAGATAACCTGCTTCCTTGGAGAGATCTGCTTGAAGGAAGAACTTTTTGTGTGTGTGCGTGCTGGGGTTCTGTTTGTTTGTTTAGAATTCAGGGGGCTTTTTTTTTTTTCACCCTGCTACAACTGCATTTTTCCAGCCCTTCCTAGCAGCTTTATTCAGATTTATTTGGCGTGCTTTGGAGAAAGCCACTATATAATCGGGAGGTCAAAGGCATACTGAAGAAAGTTAATAATGGCTGCTAATGGTGCTAACAATTCAGGGTGAATCTTGTCAAAAGTTTTTTTTTTCCCCTCTCCCCCCCCCCCCCCTTTTTTTTTTTTTTTTTTTCTTTTCTGGAAGTCTCAGTCTTTTGATTGTGTGTTTCCTGAAAGCAAGACCAATCATTTCAGTTTATTCACTGGCTAAACTCTACTTGATTGGGGACAAGCACACAAACCATCCATTACGATCTGATATATTATCCAAACAATTTAGTGTATTCATGAGGTAACCTAAATGTGGAGGCTGCAAAATTACCCGTAATCAATTGAAACAGCGAGTGCGCGTCCCTCTGTGTGTCTAACAACTACATGTCTCTGTAATAAGGCAGACATTAAATCATTTTAGAGTTGTACTGTTGAGTACCTGATCACTGGGCGCTCTGGGAAGCTGGACAGTCACATTAGGACGCTGGGACTGAGGAAGCCGCTGCTTTTCCAGTGGGATAAAACCCGACCTTCCTTACGCAAGGTGCTTTACAGATCCCCACCGATCTGACCCTAAGCCGTGCAATATCCAGCACAGACTTCGTCTTCTTCTTCTACTCTTCTATATTTTTGTTGTGGTTTTTTGTTTTCGTTTTTATTGCACTACATGTTTGGGAAACAAGACAAAATGGACGTTAGATGCAGTTCAGAGACTGAAGCTAACCGGGTCTCGAAGAACGGACATAAAGAGGGCAAGGAAAGCAAAGGGTCTGAAGGAAATATTTCTACTTCTTTTTTGAAGGATCAGCAAGGGACTTTTTCTGCCTCTGCAGCTGCGGAAGATTGTAATAAAAGTAAATCTAGTTCGGCTGATCCGGACTATTGCAGGAGGATCCTAGTTAGAGGTATGAGTGTGAGGTATTTCGCGAGGGTGGGGGAAGGTGAGCTCCCTTCACGCCCGGGAGATTTGTTTATTTTGTTGCTTTGCCTTTGGTCCGTCCCTGGGTTGAAAGGCCTTCCTACGGCTCCGGGCGAGAGATCCCACATCCCGGCCGGGTTGTGCCCTGCAGCCCCGCTCCAGCCCGGCTTTATTTCGATGAATTTCCGCCAGCGGCTCGGGGGAAAGTTAAGCCGCGGTGGTTCCTCCCCGGCTTTGCCCCGCACCGGGCCAGCCCCGCTTTTTTCCCCTGCTTTGCAGCTTTCCCGGGGTGCCCGTGCCCGCAGGGAGCCCGCCGGGGCCAGCGCTCCCTCGGAGGGGCC